TTCTTGGAGAAGCTAAAAAAGGATCAAGCTTCTTGGAGAAGCTAAAAAGGGTTCAAAAGGTTTAAGCTTCCTCAAGAAGCTAAAACCAAGATTCAAAAAGGTTCAAGCTTCCTCAAGAAGCTAGAACCAAGGGTTCAAAAGGTTCAGCCCCCCTCAAGAAAAGGTCTCGGCCAGAAAAAGTGGCTAATCGGCCAACAAAGTTGGCCAACCGACCACAAAATGTGCCGACCGACCATCAGCAGTGCCGACCGACCATCACCAGTGGCCGGTGGCCTCAAGCCATGGCCGGTGAGGTGTCGGGATGGCCTACAAGCTATTTCCCACCCTCAGAAGCAAAACAGTAAGTGTTTGATGTAAAACCAAACACAAAACAAACAAGTCGAGAGGTCTTGAGGCAAGGTGCGTAGCCGAAACCCCCGAGAACTCAAGACGAACACGAACATGGATGATCATCGAGTGTTCAAACGATGACGTCCAAGTCTTGAGGACAGTCAAAAATGGGGTGTCTACAGATATAAACCTCTTACCTTTCGTTAATATTCCACTGATATGAACCATTCAAAATTCCACTAAAGCTAAAAGTCAAAACTTCTTGCTGAGATTCCAAAACATACTCCATAACCGTGAGGGTGTAAAAAAAAAAGTTAGATAAATCAGAAAATCCACAATTTTCTCCAAAGATGAATTTTTACAATTTTCTCATTTATTTTCTTGTATTTTCTTTATTGTTTTAAGTATGTGATATTTACTATTGTACATAAACTTTTATTTTTTTATTACTTTAAATAAACTGTTGTAATTTACCACTTTGAATGGTTGGTACCACACCGCTTAAATAAACTATTATAATTTATTGCTTTAAATGGTCGGTCAGAATCGCCTAATTTGTTAAAAATCTGACCCCGCTGGATGAATAATGGTTGGTGGTGAATAGTAATCTCTAGTGGTAAATAGTATCCTCCAGCGGTGAATAGTAACCCCGATGATGAATAGTACCTCCAGCGATGAATGGTAACCACGGATGAATAAATGTCCGATAAGATGAGTAATGACCAAAGAGGGTGAATAGTACTGCCAGCGATGAATAATACTCCGCTAGATAAATAATGCTCCCACAAAATTAGTTTTCCCGGGCGAAATAGAGTAGTCAATAGTGGACAGAATAATTTTTGGTAGATGAATAGTGCTTCACCGAATGAACAGTAACCAGCAAATGAATAGTAACTTTTTTTATTTTTATTTTTTTATCTTATTCATATGATTTGTTAGTTTTAGCCGTGTTGTAATAATCTTCTAATCCCACATCTTTTATTTGGTTTTGTAATTGTTCAGTATTGTAATAATTCCTAACCCCCACTTTTTTCTACCTCTTTCTATGTATGTCTTCTAACCCTATTTCTTTCTATCCCTTTTATTTACTCGTTTTCCATATTTGTATATGGCATCATATTTTCCTTTTCATCATATCCATGTTCTGTATCCATGTTTTAGGCATCTAGATTCAACTCATTTGTATTTGTAGGTTTAATCAATTCCTATGTGATTTTGTGCGCTACCTCATGTCTTGAGATGATTCACATGTCATATATTAGAAGCCGAATCTTTAGTTTCATTTTATGATTGAATTGCATTAGGATTTTGTATATAAGATTATACATATTTCGCTAACTTTGTTTTGTAGCTGTTTTCGGGACGTCGGTAAATATGTAAGTTATTATGCTTTAGCATCTTGCTTGTGTGTGTTTTTCTTACTATGTTTAGCACCCTACCATGAGACTACTTGCTTACTTAATATAACTGTATAAATGTCAATGGATGGAGGTTGTGTCGTTTAATTTAGAATGAAGTTGATTTTCACGCGTGTAAATTCATTTTCTTTGAGTTGTACATTATTCAAATTCTTTCAAAATATGACACAGCCTATATATGTTTGCTTTCACATAGTAATTTTTAAGATTTATTAAATAATCGAAATATGAACATATAAAGGAAATAAAACTCATATCATGGTTTAGTAGAGGTCAATCTTTTGATTGGGTAAGTGGGGGTACTCAATTAATGATCTTCCCCTCTCATACTTAAGGTTCTGAGCCAAGCATCCTTAGTTACGACGAATAGTGACCTTAGCACGAGTCATAAGTTTCCTATTTTTTTTGAAATATTAGATGGCGACTCTGAGATCTGATGATGTAATCCATTTCTGGCAAATGTTTTGCAATGAAATAGATTTTCTATAAAAGTTGTCAGATTTGGACTCTCATCTATGTTTCACATTGCACTCGTGAGACTAGATTAAAGAAATCGAGAGTCCGAGCTGTTT